TGCTGCAGCTGCTTGATCTTGACCCAAATTTTGTGAATTAATTGATAGGTAGGGAAGGACTTATTTGGTTTACAAAAAGATTGAGCCTCAAGACCTTCTGGTAATGAACCAGCGGCCGTAGAATGTAACATAACTTGTAGCGTAGAATCATTAGCTGTGGCATTAGTGGTGCCTCCTTCTGCCATACCTTTTACGCAGATGTTGCACCTGGCTAACCAGATAATACAACCAGGAATTGGGCAAAGTTATCCCCCCTCTATCCTTAGGATGCTGTAACTGTTCTATCCATATCCGTGGTGGGCGGTTTCCCCAAAGTAAGGAGCAAAAATTAGTATTTATAATCGTGAAGGCTTTCAGTGGAATCATTACTGGCGAATTGTGAAGAAAATACAGCAATTGGGGCATAAATATCATTTTTATAAGGTTCGCTCTACCTGCCAAAGACAACCAGAACTTAGACCATATCTTCACCTTGTCTTTAAAGTGAGTCAACAACGGGGCTAAATTTAAAAGGCAGTAGTCTAGTAAATTGGAACTAATGAGAATACCCTGTTATTTAAAGGAGGATGGTAATATAACTGGACAGAAAGTAGACATTGCTGGGTCCGTGACCCCATCAGGTGGCAGCAGGGCTGACTTAGACCAGTTAATTATTAGCCCAGAATATTTGCCAAATTGAGAGATTATATGAGTGGCTGAGCCTGTATCGCCAAGCAGAAGCAATATGTCGTTGGCATACAACAATATTTTCTCGTGGGTGTTACCATATCGAAAACCCACCACCTCCTCACTAGCCCGAATTCACGCCGCCAGAGATTCAATGGTCAATGCAAACGATAATGGAGAGAGGGGGCGACCCTGTTGGGTACCCCTAGCTAGCTGAAAAGTTAAAGAAGCTGCTCCGCCTTGTCTGGTAGCTGCACAGGGAGAATGATATAAAAGCTTTATCCAGGTTATAAAACGCTCGCCAATCCATACTTCTCTAGAATCCTCCACAAATAGTCCCATTCTACACTATCAAACGCCTTAGTTGCATCAAGCGACAACAGTGCTCTGGAACCCATGTTGTCAGCAGGCGTTTGCATATCAATAAATAATCTACATAAATTGACATCTTAGATGTCTGCCTGATAAGGGTGCACTATTGTGGTGATGATTTTATTTAATCTAAGTGCTAATACTTTGGCTAGGATCTTCACATCCGATTGTAACAAAGAGATAGGTCTATCGGAATTGGGATCAGTGGCCACCTTGTCTGGCTTCAGCAGCAGTACCACTCTGGCCCTGATCATGGAGTCTGGTAGAGTGCGTCTGTCATAGGCTGCCTGCAGCACCGCTAATGTCGTGGCAACATGGAATCCGCATATATCTTATAGTCCTCCATTGGGAGACCATCCTCCCCCGGGGCTTTATTATTGGGGAACAGACTGGTCGCCCTGGCAAGCTCCTCTATTGTAATAGGTGAGTCCAGGAGTAATTTTTGGGCAGAGGAGATTGTACGTATCCTGAACATATTTGTCCAAAGTCTCAAACGTGTAAGAAGATTTTGATGAGTAGAGGTCCGTATAATACTGAACTAGCTCCTCCATAATAGCAGAGGGAGTATTCACCAATCTACCCGTTGAAGAAATCAAGGACCCATTTGGTTTTATTGAGTCTGAATTAATTTGGCTAACAAGCGGCCAGACTGCTCACCTTCCTCATAGAAAGTTTGTTTAGTAAAGAAACGCCTCCTCTCTGCCTGCCAACTGGTCAGGCGAAGAAGCACCTCCTGCGCTGATGACCATGCCTATTTGTTAGACTCAGTTGGGTTATCTATATACGTACACTCCAATAGTTGTGCCTGCTGGGTAACCTGGGCCTCATGCATCCTCGTCTTAGTTTTAATCACAGATATTTCTGACACAAATACTCCCCTAAGAAATGCCTTAAATTTATCCCTAGTAAGTAAAGGATCAACTTGAAGATCATTATGATGAAATAAATCATCAATCTGTTGTGCTACCATGAAGAAAGCGTGCTATGGGTTTAGGAGAAGCAGGAGAACTGACGGGAAGTGGGCTAATGCGTATGCCAGCAATCCACCCAATCTACCTCAGACAAGAAACAACCAAGGACAGTCACTCTAGCCTGGGGACCCGCTGCAGCCAGTGGGATCCAGATACCCATTAAAGTCACCCAGCACAAACAATGGCACATTAGGCTTATCAAGCAAAAACTCTATCAATTGTCTCAAGATATTAGCTGAAAAGGGTGGAGGTATATTTACAACTGCTAAGACGCAGATAACAGAATATAGCTTACACAACAGGAATACAAATCTGCCCTTGGGATCAATTTCACACACCAGCTTCCTGTAAGGTACAGCTTTATCTATCAATACACACACACCCCACATGAATAGGCAGTGTGGGTGGAATGATACAAGCACCCTCCTTGTTTAGCTAGAGGGAGCTAGATTCTAATGGTTAGACAGGAGCTGTTGGCAGCTCAGGTGTAATAGCCAGTAGGGTCAAATTTTGGTCAGGGCTGAGAGGCTCTGCAGGCCAGCCCCTCTGGAATTTCCCACAGCTCTGAGGCTTTTGACTGACGGCCTTGGAGGGAGTAGGTGGATCTGAGGAGTGGCTGGCTGCACTCTTGAGGGACCTCAGCCAATCCCAAACAGAAGGCTTGGCAAGGGGCTGGACTCCCTTAAAAAGTGAAGGAGCCTGCTCAGTAGCAGGAGTGTGGTGGGAGTGGTGTAGAGAGTTGGAGGAAGATGTGAGGCTGGAGGAATAAGACTGCCAGGAGGCCTAGTGGGATGGGGCCTACCTGCAAGCCTGGAGCTGGAAAGGTGGAAAACTTGGAACTCACTGGTCTCTTGAGAAAGGGCCACCTGTATGGCAGGGAAGGAGCAGCCCAACTGATAGGTCCGGTAGCAGCAACCAACCTACAAGCAGTACAGGAGAGGATTGAGTACACCTGCACCCCCTGGGTGGATAGGGAAAGGAGCACTCTGGTGGGAAACCAGATTGGCCCCCTACTAGTGACTGTTCATCCACTTAAAGGGACAAGAGCCAGATCCCCTGCTCAGGAAAACCTGTAGATTGCTGGGTGAAGAGGAGTTCATCTAGAGTCTGGGGTGGTACATCAAGGAGACACTGGCTAGCTCTCCAACAGAGACTGTGTTGGAGAGAATAAAAGATTGTGAATAGTGTTGGGAAGGTTATCGGTTCACTTGGGCAACCTATACCTCTCTTATCCTATCCCAGTTTTAAATCCCTTCAATATACAACAAATGAAAGCTCAAGGATTGGTTACTGCCTGTAATAAAAGCAGATATTGAATGGACCATCATCCTCTAGAGGAAGCACTGAGATAAATGTTCTAAGAATACTAAAGAGATCCTTGCATTGTGTTTTGTGTCAGAGTCAAGTTTCATTTTGTGGTTTGCGGTGTCTGCGTATATGACAGCATGACTCAGCCTGTTATGGTGACAAGAGCATGCAGCACTGAGTTTACCGCAGGAAGAAATATGATTTACTGGAGATGGGAGGAATCCAGTGTCCAAAGACTTCAAGGATTGTCTTGTCCTTCTGTGGGAAGATCCTCTCTGTGGGGGCAGTTTCAAAGAGCTCCTGGAGATTTTTTTGCTTCTAAACAGATGTTGACCACTACGTTAAGAGCTGTGTAGAAGCGGATGCATTGAGGAGAAATTAAATTGAGGATGGGATGTTGGGTAAAGGGGACCTAAACCTTACTCTGATTTAATCTATTTTACAACACCCCCCTGCAGCTGTCCTGTTATTGATGATGCTCATAAACATTAAATGGCCTAATTGGGTGGTGATTCAATGTCTGAGGGATAGTAGCCCCCAACAAGCATTCTTGGGGATTAAAATGACCAGGCAGGTCTGTCTGCTCACCTCTCGCCTGCCTTGTCCTTTTCCTCTTGGGACTAGTCCACCCTAGGAATGATTGGGCACCTCCCCACCATGGTATAGAGAGTAGGAACTAAGGTGATCTATAGATACTGTGATATTCTTTCCTGAAAACTTGGGTTGCAGGAAAGAAAATCACTCGATTTCCCCATCAACACAGTCAGTGTTGATGGGGGAATCCCTCCCGTGGAGCTATTGTGTCCTCCCAGCAGGGGTGAGGGGGGAGGTCATGGGTAGTTGTCCCTGCCCGGAGTGTGTGATTATTGCTAGCGGCTATAGCCACTGGCAATAATCACATGCCGAAAATCTGACATGCTGGTTCTACCCAAGTCAATTGATGGATCGACTTGGGTACAATCGGCCTGCCCATAGATGGTTTGAATTTTGGTCAGTCTCAGTTGAACCAGCCGAGATTCGAACCATCTGGCTGGCTTAACACACTTTGTATACAGTATATTGAGTACTAGGTGAAAACAAAGAAAAAAGGAAGACAAATGTATGCATCCTACACATCTGATGACTAGTAACTTGCAATATATTTTTTTTTTGTTGGGTTTATATGCATTTTACCTGTCAGCTGCTTTAGGCTCCCTCCACCTGCTGGAACCCAAATGGTGATCAACTCACCATCTTTCAAGCACAGCCAGCCAATCAGTGGCTCTACCTGAACATAGATTCTGCCTTATGTTGGCAAAGCCTGTCCACTCTCTTCACCTCACATACATTTTTATTGGCTAACAAGGCCATCTATTGTAGTGATGAGCCAGCAGTAATATTGAGAAACAAGGGTGCTGGGGAGGGGGCACCATCTGGAAGTGTCAGTTCTTCACCTTGTCAGAGCAGCCGGGCATTTGGCCAAAGACAGGAATGTTCTGGAATTTCTAGATGTCTGTATACCTTTTTGGCATCTTTTTTTTTCTTCCAATGTGTACTTCGCACAAGTGATAAATAGGGCTTCAGGAAATGTGGTGCTGTTTGAGTCATACAGTTTAAAAAACAGTGTTGTGGTCACCTTGAATGCATTACTGAAAATTCATATTAGATGTTGAAGGTATCTTATTAACAACATCTTCTCTTAAGTAGAGACAGGCCGGCAGCTATAACCAACCAGACGTCAGAGCGTCTCCCACAGAACTCTCTGGATGAACCGGCATCCCAGCAGTGCCTCCATATCTCTATCTCTGGCTCATCTTTGGAACTCTCCGAACACACAGACAGTGCCAGCCGAGATTTGGTGCCATTTGATAGTGACGACACCGATGACGAGTCCTCTCCTAGCCCCTCGGGAACCCTCCAGAGTCAGGCCAGCCGCTCTACCATTTCCTCCAGCTTCGGCAGTAAGTTCTACTTCACCTTACTGTTTAAACAAATGTTTTATAAATACAGTATTTCATGTATATTTATGTTCCATTAAATAATGTTACCTTTACGTGCATTCTCAGCTGACAACAGACCAGGATTTTTTTTACTAAATTAGTGTGCCATAAAAAAAACAATATATGTATAAAAATGATTTAGGAATGCAAATTAGTCTAAGGCCTCTGTCACACCATATGCAGAGACGTGAGTTTTTCTGCACATGTTCTGTAAGGGCACAAAAAAAAAAAAAAAAATGTGTTTTTGATGCGTCCTGTTTACGCCACAAAACACTAGTATCACGTGCAGATTTTTTTCCGAACCGGAATCTGCAACATATATAAAACTTACTGAAACCCGTATGAAAACTGATGTAAACTGATGTTTCTTCAAGTAAAATCTGAGCATCAGTTTTTCTCCTCATATGTTGTGATTGAGGCTTTAGAGTTATTGTTAAAGCCCAACTGAACCTTCAGTTTGAATTGGCTAAATACATTTCAGGTGCTTTAAAAGAAAAAAATGCACAAGTAGAAAAGTATGTCTTCTGCCAGCATGCTGCAGAGTGGAAACTTTGCTCTTTATGTGGAAGCAGTGGCCTCTGTGCAGAGGCTCAACACTCCTCTTACTGAGTCCTATACCTATAGAGCTGCAATCAGCAAAATCCCTGGGGCATAAGACCTCTGTAAAGAGACTTTGAAGTAAATGTGTGTCTGCATCTAATGAGCTCCTGTTCCCCAGATGAAGAAATGCCGAGTGCCAAGGACACCACAGCCGAGACCACCAGCTCGGAGGAGGAGCAAGAATCCGGGTTTCTTCCAATTCCCACCAACTTCAACCAGAACCGGGAGAGTGAGAGCCCTACTGAGGGGCGAGCAGTGAGGAGGTCCAGTCGCAACTCCTTCACACGGGGCAGTCTTGAGGACCTCATGAGCATCGACCCCGAGGCCTATCAGAGCTCTATGTGGCTAGGCACTGAGGATGGCTGGTGAGAGACATCAAATCAATTCATTATACATTATGTGTATAAGTAAAAATGGGACCTGTCTTTGTTCTTGTACAAGTATGAAGTAAGGTAGATATTGTTCTTTTGTCAGGTATGGCGGTTCCGCTTTGTTTGTTACGTTTGTGTGTTATAATTCAGAAGAATGCAATAGTAACCAAAGAGTAAATCCACGCTAAGGAGTAAATTCATATAAACAAGCCGCCACTATAACTGTGATACCAGACAAAATGTATAAAACAAAAAAAGCAGCACTAAAATCAATAACTCAATAAATCAATCAATGACTTAAACAATTATGTGAGAAAGTATGTGATTCAATAAGTGATACAATTTAATAAAAAAAAAATTAAATACCACAGAAAGTGTCTATAGAAAATATGTGCCACAATATGTGATACGTTTAAATAATAAAATGCCACAAAAAGTGTTCATATGGAAAAACGTTCAAATACAGTGTCTCTTTATTGAAGCTCCTCTTCCCCAAGAAAGCTCCAATCAACAGGTGCAAAAGATCTACGTAACAATCCTGTGTTAATGGCAAACAATGTGCAGCCAATGAGAAAAGGTCCACCACTGTATAAAAGGGCCTCTTACCAGACCAGTTGGACCATTTTATTATAAATGGTCATACTGCACTCAGCACATAATATGCAGATCTAACTCCACTGCAGCTGATCCTTGATCCCAATAGCGGATGTCACTTTGCTTCCTCAGATTTTTAAGCAGCTCTTTGAAATGAACAAATTTATTGCCTCAGCTCCTCGTCGGTGTTCTTTCTCTGCAAGGCAGAATACCTCTCCGGAACAATTTCTTTTAAATTTGGAATCTCCTCTGGTGTTCTTTGCTTTAAACATCATCATCCAGCCATAGATTGCTCTGTGCCTCTGCTCCACTTTCAGTATTAACGGTAAACAGGACAAATCGGGAGGGTGAACGGGGTACACAGACAGCAATAATAACTGACAGGTGTTCTAATCCATCTCCACTCCATCCCAAACAAAAATGGTTTGCCTTTAGTTATACTTTAGGTATTACTAACCCTGTATTGGCCTTTTATTTTAGTCACAGAATTGCTTTAAACACTTCCCGACCGGTCGTTGCATATAAACGGCGGTGGCACTGCAGGGTCGGGTGGCCGTTTATAAACGGCCTCCCCGCACCCTGCTTGTGCGCGCTCCCTGGGAGCGCACAGCACCGCGATCTGGTGCCCGCTGTGTCCTGCGGACACAGTGAAACACCGATCGTCAGACAGGACCTCTGTACGAGGTCCCGATCATGTGATCACTGATTGGCCAATCAGTGATCACATGCAAAGTAGTAAGCAAGATGTCACTTGTGATATCATTGCTTACTAGTGAAATCTGTGAATGAACACAGAGGTCACATGGTACAAGGCTATTCACAACAGCCTTGTACCATGTGACAAGCTGTGACCAATCACAGCTCACTCAGTACTTCTCAATGAGTGCAAGAATGCACACAGAGAGAAAGAGAAATGATTGCTTTTACATCCTATATGGGTGTAAAAGCAATCGGTGTATAAAAAAAAAAATTTTCATCACCCCCCACAAGTAGTACAGGGTCACCATGGTGACACTGTACTGCTAGGGTGAGAGTATGTAAAAAAAATAATAAATAAATAAAAAAAATAATAATATAAAAAAATCAAATAAAAATATAAAAAAATTTTTTGAAAAATTAGAATTTTTGGTTATAAACTAATTTGGATTTTTTTTTTTTTTTTTTACTAAAAGGATAATGGAATAAATTTTGGCAAAGATTTATGATGAAATATTATTTATTTGCAAAATGTTATAAAAAAAAAACACTTTTTTTTCAAAATTTGTGGACTTTTTCATTTACATAGCAAAAAAATAAAAATCCCAGCGGTGAATAAATACCACCAAAATAAAGCTTTATCTGTCTCAAAAAAATGGTAAAAAATTAATTTGGGTACAGTGTTGCATGACCGCGCAATTGTCATTCAAAGTGTGATAGTGCTGAAAGCTGAAAATTGCCCTGGTCAGGAAGGGGGTAAAAGTGTCCGGCCTGGAAGTGGTTAAAGAATAACACGGCCCCCAATATGGTTTGCTCATTTTGAACTTAGGCAGGTTTATCCCCTACCACTATGGTCTGATACTCTAGAGCAGTGGTGGGCAACTGCGGCCATCCAGCTGTCGTGGAACTACATGTCCCATGAGGCATTGAAAGACTGATAGTTGCATCATGACTCCCAGTGGCAGAGGCATGATGGGACTTGTAGTTCCACAACAGCTGGAGGGCCACAGTTTGCCCACCCCTTCTCTAGAGTGAAGATCTCCTTCTACCTTGAGCTTCTGCAAGACAGGTGGAGTGTTTCTGTTCAGCTGAGATACTGTTGTCACTGCCCAAAAAGATCTATTATCGGCAGATGCTACAGTGTTTGTGTCCAGCACACTCTAGTGTTCTCTAGTTGGAATTAAAGGAAATTCACTTAATAAGTGTAGTATTTTTTATTTCTCATCAACACACATAAAGGTAAAAAATATTGCACTCATATATACTGTGCCCGAACTGGCACAGTTGTGTACAGCCTGGATAGCTATCGCAATCCCTATAGTCCTTCTTTTGGTTTTTTTTGGTGGTACAGCTCATTTCCATGGAGACGAGGATCTACAAGAGAGTGAAGAGAACAGAGATGACCATTAAGGATTGGAGGAGTAAATAAACCCACAAGCACTGTCTGACCTTTAGTAAAGTAAGGGTCACTGGAGTGCTGGTGAGTTTTTTTTCTCATGGTGGTGTGGAGATTGGTGGCACAGACACAATATTTTGTTTGAAACACAAGAAGCACTTGAAGATTTGTTGCACTTTGGTGCGGTGGACTTTATAAAGAAAACATATATGTTTCACATGTTATGCTTTTAAGTTGTGGTAGTGCCTGTTAATTTCCTATATTTGTTTCACATATACAGTTAGGTCCATATATATTTGGACACAGGCACAATTTTAGTTTTTTTCAGGTATTTACCAAAACATATTCAAGTTCTAGTTATATAATGGATATGGGCTGGAAGTGCATACTCTCAGGTTTAATTTGAGGGTATGTACATCCAAATTGGAGGAAGGGTTTAGGAATTAGCACTTAAGAGTAGCCATTCCCCCTTTTTCAAGGGACCAAAAGTAATTGGACAATTTAACCAAAAGCTGTTTCTTGAGCAGGTGTGGGCTACTCCTTCATTATTTCTTCATCAATTAAGCAGGTAAAAGGTCTGGAGTTGATTCTAAGTGTGGTATTTGCATTTGGAATCTTATTGCTGTGAACCTACATCATGCATTCAAAGGAGCTGTCCATGCAAGTGAAACAGGCCATTGTAAGGCTTCAAAAGTGAAACAAATCCACCAGAGAGATAGCAGCAACATTAGGAGTGGCCAAATCAACAGTTTGGTACTTTCTGAGGAAAGAACGCACTGGTGAGCTCAGCAACATAAGAAGGCATGGACGTCCACGGAAGACAACAGCGGTGATGATCGTAGGATCCTTTCTATGGTAAAGAAAAACCCATTCACAACATCCAGACAAGTGAAGGACACTCTCCAGGAGGTGAGCGTATCATTGTCAAAGTCTACAATTAAGAGAAGACTTCACGAGAGCAAATACAGAGGATTCACCACAAGGTGCAAACCATTCATAAGCCTGAAGAATAAAAAAGCCAGATTAGCCAAAAAACATCTAATAAAGCCAGACCAGTTCTGGAAAAGCATTCTTTGGGCAGATGAAACTAAGATTAATCTGTACCAGAATGACGGGAAGAAATTGTTTGGAGAAGGCTTGGAACATCTCATGATCCAAAGCACACAACGTCATCTGTAAAACATGGTGGAGGCAGTGTGATGGCATGGGCATGCATGGCTTCCAGTGGCACTGGGTCATTGGTGTTTATTGATGATGTGACAGAAGACAGAAGCAGCCGGATGAATTCTGCAGTGTTTAGAGATATACTGTCAGCCCAGATTCAGCCAAATGCAGCAAAGTTGATTGGACAGAGCTTCACAGTACAGATGGACAATGATCCAAAACACACTGCAAAAGCAACCCAGGAGCTTTTGAAGGAAAAGAAGTAAAATATTCTGACATGGCCGAGTCAATCACCTGATCTTAATCCAATTGAGCATGCATTTCACTTGCTGAAGGGAAAACTAAAGGAAAAAGACCCACAAAGAGCTGAAGACAGCTACAGTTAGAGCCTGGCAAAGCATCAGAAAAGAGGAAACCCAGTCTTTGGTAATGTCCATGGGTAAAATACGATTTCTCTTGCGCTCTAGGACCCAGGCCGGTGGCGAGTAGATGAAATCAAAACCAGAAGAAGCGACCACCAGTGAATGAAAGGTTGTGCAGCTCCAAAACAAGGCTGGGGAAGCCCGACCAATTCTGCATTCATCAACAGCTTCCCCAATGTCCATAGGTTCCAGACTTCCGGCAGACATTGCCAGTAAAGGATTCTCAACAAAATATTCAAAATTAACATTTTATTTATGATTATATTCATTTGTCCAATTACATTTGATCCCTTGAAAATGGAGGGACTGTGTATAAAAATGGGTGCAGTTCCTAAAATTTGTACTTAGATATTTATGTTCAACCCCTTGAATTAAAGCTGAAAGTCTGCACTTCAAATTAATTTGAATTGTTTTGTTTTAGTTTATTCTGGTGGAATACAGAGCCAAAAGTATGCAAATTGTGCCTGTGTCCAAATATATGTGGGCCTAACTGTAAATAGTAGTTGTGTATACCACTAGAAGAAGGTAGCATCACAGTTTAATATTGTATTTTGTTAGCAGCCGCCTATGAGAGCCAACACCTGCATATCCACAGCAGCCAGACTCATCCACCTTACCAACCGCTCCGTTTCTGCCACCCCCCTCTGCCAATCCCTCCACTGGCTTCCGATTGCCCAACGGATCAAATTCAAAATGCTTACACTGACGTACAAAGCTGTCCATAATACTGCCCCAAATTACATCACCGACCTGATATCCAAATACCACCCAACACGTACTCTTCACTCCTCACAAGACCTCCTACTCTCCAGTTCCCTGGTCTCCTCCTCCCATGCTCGCCTCCAGGACATCACCCATCCTCTGAAACTCCCTACCCCAATCCATCAGACTATCACCTAATCTCCTCTCCTTTAGGCGCACCCTGAAAACCCACTTCTTCAGGGAAGCCTACCCCACCCCCTGCTAATTGCCGATCTCCTCCACTCTTCTTACCACTTCATCCCCCACAGCTTTTCCTCCTGTACCACTATCCCCTCCCCTCCTAGATTGTAAGCTCCAAGGAGCAGGGCCCTCGAACCCCTCGTGTATCGCACTGTATTATTGTACCGTCCCATGTATTGTCTCCCATTGTGAATGTACAGCGCTGAGTGAACTATTGGCGCTTTATAAATACTGTAACAGAAGTGAGCAGGAATCAGAGAGTCTCAGCCAAAGGTGGCGGTGGCGGAGTTCCACCAAGTTCCAGCTGGAAAAAAGCCCTGGTCACTGCTATATAATCTTCCCAGTCGTTCCCTGGCTAGAGAGGTGATGATGCTGATTTACTGTCCATCCAGGAGGCTGGAGGTGACACAGGAAGCTGAATTGCTGAACCTGGAAGATAAAAAGGGGCCATGTGAGAACTCTGTGAGGTGCTGCCATTCATTTACAGTGGTACCAGAGCATGTATACACAGCCATAACAAATTCTTCTGTCTTTAAAGAGCATATACATTGCCTTATAGTGCGTTGGGAAAAAAAAATAGCCAAATATGTTTGGACCATTGAAGCATGTTAGGCCCTTTTGAAAATGAATAAGCAGTGCAATGTAATATGCATCATCTTGCTAAAAACCTGAACATCAACATGCACATAGTAATAAAGGGGCCCATAATTGGGTACTATGAGGATCTGAGTAAGCGTTGTGAAAAATGTGTGTAAATCACAGGGCTGGCTGTACAGACTTACAATTCCTTTGTCGGGTAAAAGAGTAACCATATATGAATTGCAACTGTTGTCTCAAAAAGCATGACAATTTTTATCTTTGCATTGCAGCATTCACGTCTATCAGTCCTCTGACAACATCCGCAACCGCAAGAACAGCATGAAGATGCAGCACACAGCGTCCGTCATGTGTATACTGTGAGTGTCAGGGGTAGCGGGGTATTTCCCAGCTCCCCCCACCCCTTGTATTTCATATTAATGTAACTCCGTAATACTCAGTTGGCTGCTCAACCTAAGCTGTGTTTTTTGCTTTCGCAGATATTTGGACAACCAAGTGTTTGTGTCGCTGGCAAATGGAGATCTGATTGTTTACCAGAGAGAGGCAGGTGAGGGAAAAGACAGAGTCCTTGCAGGGAAACCACTGTACCAGAATGGAAGTGTCACCCTCAGCCTGTATGTTCCATCTTGGCATGGTGTGGTTTCCTCTGATGTCGGACCAGGAACGCACATACTATCCGCATGTAATCTGCCATTTCAAATGGACCTCGGACACTGAAAGGACCCGTAGTAGGGGATGATAGTGGGATAGATGCAATGGGCACCTGGGCGGTCAAGGTAGAAATTTTTCCCTTCCACAGCTAGTTGTCTATTTGACTGTGGCCATACATTATACAACTTTCTTTTCTGCAACCATTGATTGCAGGAAAGAAAACTGATCAATTCCACCATCAACACAGTCCGTGTTGATGGGGGAATCCCTCCTGCAGCTCTATTGTGTACAGACAGCAGAAACACAATGATCACTACTGGTGGCTAAAGCCACAGGCAGTGATCAAAAGAAACAACCCGTCAGGCTGATTGTACTGAAGTCGACTTCAGTACAACCAGCCTGCCCATAGACTATTATTATTATACAGGATGTATATAGCGCCAACAGTTTGCGCAGCGCTTTACAATAAAAGGGAGACACTACAATTACAATACTTTTAGTACAGAAGGAATGTATTTATTGAAACTCGGCTGATTCATCTATTGCTGGCTTTAGACAGTCAGCCTCCCTGATCAGCAGCCCAGCAGGCATTGAGTGCATTTTATTCAGTCAAGCATGACTGATAGACCTACACTGAAAGAGAAATGCTGTATGGCTATCATGAAAAAGCAGAAAGCAGAGCCTGCATGTATAATGGATAGATATGACTTTTCCCATGTGCACATATAGTTATAAATTGTACAGAAATGTTTGGTTTCGCAGTTTTTTTTTTTTCAGTAAGCTGATAGCTTGACACATTTATATAAAAATCGATATAATTTATGAATTATAACAGTCTATAGCCTTTAATAACAAAAACATTACCATAGCAATGAATGTCACAAGGGAGCTCAGTCTGTGTCTGCAGTTCTCTCTTCTCCCCAAATCTGATAGACATTAAGGAGATTTGATTCACATACAGAATGAGTGATATGGCTCCAAGTCTTACTTGGTAATGGGCTGAACTTGAAGTCTGCTCTTCTGTCTCTGTTTTTGATGACGGCAAGATGGAGGAGAGGTAAGCGGCAAGGTGCATGTGTGCCCAGGCCCTACTGGATGGTACAGTCTGTGCAGGGTAGGAGCAGGGGCGGACTGACAACTCATGGGGCCCCCGGGCAATAGGGGATCATGGGGCCCCTGTGTCCTTGCCCAAACTCAAAAAAGTCTATGAAAAAGGTACCAGGGGCATCTCATGGGGCCCCCTACTGACCCCGGGCCCTCAGGCAGTGCCCGAGTTTCCAAATGGTCAGTCCGCCCCTGGGTAGGAGTTTTTTTAAAGTTCACTTCAGGCTGGCCCCTTTTGCAGGTATAGCTATGGAAAACATTAAAAATAAGTGTCGATACTGTTTAAAATCCAGCAATACACTGTCTCATTCTGCTCTGCCCGTGCTCAGTTGCTCTCTATTTTTAGGCACTGCCAAATTTGTAGAGACTGATCTGCTGACAACCTAAAGATTTACTGCTGCTCAGGGGCTGTGGGCTTCAGCAAAATGGCAGCCTTTAGCAAAAAGAAGCATGAACAATGCTGGAGACAATTTACAGCACACACTAATTTTGGTAGCATATTTATTAATTTGGAATGTATGTTCCTTCCTAAAGAACATTATTTTTTATCAAGTTGTTATGAGTAAAGTTCCACTTTAAATGGGCAAATGCAGCATGCTTTTAGGTGCATTCAGTTTGCACTTGTTAGCACCTCTTAGTTGCATCTGACCTGTGCTTGATTGTTTCAGATTTTCTATTGATGAGCACAGGGAGAAATTGGGCTCTTAAAGTGGTAGTAAACTGCCCAGAAAAAAAAAAAAATGGGCCCCCTGCAGGTTTAGGTCACAATGTACTAGTATGCACCACATACTAGTACATTGTGACAGACTTGCCTGTACACAGAGCCCTCCAACACCGCACTGTCACGGCTCCCTGGTGGTGCTGGTCTTACCTTCCGGATTCGCGGGCTCTGGTGGTTTGAATGGCCAGAGCCATGATGACATCACGCCCCCGCATGCATGTGGGAGCCCTCTGCTGCGGCACGGAGCTCTGAAGGTCCGGCACGCTGTGCTGTCCCATCAGAGCGCACGCACGGGTGACACCACCATCTGCATGCTGTGTAAATATCTCCTAAACTGTGCAAGGAGATAATCACTGTACCAGCAGGAAAGCCTTATTCTAGACTTGCCTGTAGGTACTACTTACAAAATGGACTGTACTTCCACTTTAATGATTCAAATGCCCGTATTTCTTTTTTTTTTCAAATGGACATTTACAGCATGTCCATTAAACAAACCATTTCCACAGTACTTAGTTTGACAGATAACAAAGGAAGCCCATTCAACACCACCTTCTAAAGTCCAAATAAGAAGAAATTTCATTTAAAAACACTATACGGCCAAAAGTTTGTATACCCATGTATTGAGTTCAGATGTTTCCAGTAGGGGTTTTGTTAATTCTGCAGCAAAGACAGTTTAAGCCATTGTATGCTTCCAACCATATGTTAGCGGTTTAGGTTAGTCCCTTTTCTGTTCCAGCATGACTGTACCCCTGTGTAGATTTCTAGCTCCATAAAAACATGGTATGGTGAGTTTGGTGTGGAGGAACCCTAATGGACTGCACAGAGCCCTGACCTCAACCCAATAGATGAATCCATCAACAGACAGTTCTTTCTCATCCAATATTAGCACCTCACCTCTTTTTGAGTGAATGGGCATAAATCTCCACATAGACACTCCGACATCCTGTGAAAATCCTTTCTCACAAATTGGTGCCCGTTATAGCCACAAACGAAGGCCGGTGTCATATTAATGCCCTTGGTTTTGGAATGAGATAACAGAAAGCTCATATAAGTGTGTGGGTTAAGTGTCCAAAAATGTTTTACCATATAGTATATATAACAAAAAATGAACAGTGTACCCTTTAAATAATTCCCCAATTGCACCTAAACACTTTTCACCGCAAAAAGTGTATCATCCAAATTATATATATATATATATATATATATACAGTTGCAAGAAAAAGTATGTGAACCCCTTGGGATTACGTGGAGTTTTGCATGAATTGGGCATAAAATGTGCTCTGAACGTCATCTAAGTCACAACAATAGAAGAACATAGTCTGCTGAACATAATACTACACAAACATTAGATGTTGCCATGGTTTAATTGCACATAACATGTAAACATTCACAGTGCAGGGAGGAAAAAGTATGTGAACCTTTGGACTTAATAACTGGTTGACCCTCCTTTGGCAGCAATAACCTCAACCAAACGTTTCCTGTAGTTGCAGATCAGACCTGCACAACGATCTGGAGTAATTTTGGACCACTCCTCTTCACAAAACTGTTTCAGTGTAGCAATATTCTTGGGATGTCTGGTGTGAATCGCTCTCTTAAGGTCATGCCACAGCATTTCAATCGGGTTGAGGTCAGGACTCTGACTGGGCCACTCCAGAAGGCGTATTCTGTGCTGTTGCAGCCATTGGTTTGTTGAATTACTTGTATGCTTTGGGTCATTGTCCTGTTGCCTCACCCATCCTCTGCAGAGCTTCAGTTGGCGGACAGATGGTCGTACGTTTTCCTGCAAAATGTCTTGATAAACTCTGGAATTCATTTTCCCATCAATGACAACAATCCATCCAGGCCCTGAGGCAGCAAAGCAGCCCCAAACCATGATGCTCCCTCCGCCATGTTTTACAGTGGGGATGAGGTTTTGATGTTGGTGTGCTGTGCCTTTTTTTTCTCCACACATAGTGTTGTGTGTTCTTCCCAAACAACTCAATCTTGGTTTCATCTGTCCACAGTACATTTTGCCAGTAGTGCTGTGGAACATCCAGGTGCTCTTTTGCATACTTCAAACGTACTGCAATATTCTTTTTGGACAGCAATGGCTTCCTCCGTGGTGTCCTCCCATGTACTCCATTCTTGTTTAATGTTTTCCTTATTGTAGATGTGTCAACAAAAATGTTAGTATGTGCCAGAGATTTCTGTAGGTCTTTAGCTGACACTCTGGGATTCTTCTTTACCTCATGCAGCATTCTGCACTGTGCTCTTGCAGTCATTTTTACAGGACGACCACGCCTAGGGAGAGTAGCAACAGTGCTAAACTTTCTCCATTTGTAGACAGTCTGTCTTACCGTGGACACATGAACATCAAGGCTTTTGGAGATACTTTTGTAACCCTTTCCAGCTTCATGCAAGTCAACAATTCTTGATCGTAGGTCTTCTGATAGCTCTTTTCTGCGAGGCATGGTTCACATCAGACAGTGCTTCTTGAAACCAGTAAACCCAAAACAGGTGTGTGTTTTTTAAGGGCAGGACAGCTGTCAGCAACACATCCAATATCATCACACTGATTGGAGTCAAAGTTGGCTCACTCCTGGCTCCAATTATCTCTGGGAGAAGTCATTAAGCTAGGGCTTCACATACTTTTTCCTCCCTGCACTGTGAATGTTTACATGTTATGTGCAATTAAACCATGGCAACATCTAATATTTGTGTAGTATTATGTTCAGCAGACTGTGTTCTTCTATTGTTGTGACTTAGATGCCGTTCAGAGCACATTTTTATGCCCAATTCATGCAAAACTCCACGTAATCCCAAGGGGTTCACATACTTTTTTCTTGCAACTGTATATATATATAAAGTGCTAATATACTAAATAACACTGATAAATACCACTGTCCAAAAATTATATTGTCCACAATAAAAAATAAAATATAATCAAATAAAATAAACAGAGTAGACAAAAATCCTCCAGAAAGACAGTCCGCAAAAAGGCTTCCAGCCGAATGTAGATCCAGTGATTATGGAGATCGAACCTCAAAAAAAGAGAGAACTCACATAGTGTGATACCATAAAAACGCATAAGGTAATATCAACATCACTGCAAAACGCATGTGAATCACACTAAACCACACGTGGTGACTCATGCAGGTGAGTATAATGTGAGCTGTGCAAACCGCTATAAACACTCTCGTGCCGTGTGCAAACCATGTAAACACGTGTCCACTTCTAAGTGTAAGGATAAAACACTCTTACCAGAACATGGATATAACAAGCATGCAAGTCCCAATCCAAAAACAGCTTTTCAAACTTAGCAAGTGGGAAATTCCTCCTCCATTACCATATAGATTCCCTCCAAAGCTGAACAGATTATACTGATAAAGTTCATGTAAAAAACTCATCCAGTCATGTTCTCAATGACTCCGGATAATGCCACCACAAACAGCAATAGGAAGTTCTTCAATACCACATAAATTTTATTGCATAAATGTCACATCATATTAAAATTACGAACAGACCCTCCATAGATCTTCAGGAACATATAGTATATATATGTCTGTGGATATGCGGAGACTAGGAATACATCTATTTGAAATAAATAGGTCCAATTCTGTTCATGTCTTCTTTGACCTCTTGTGTCTTCTGTTTTCCAGGAAGTTTTTGGGACCCTCAGAACTCCAAAACTATTTCTTTAGGTTCTCCTGGAAACCCTGTCACCAAAATGGTGTCCGTCTCTGGAAAACTCTGGTGTGGATGTCAGAACAGGGTCACCATCTTCAACACCTCATCCCTGCTTCAGGAGGTTGGTCTGCTGTTTACTTTTTCATTTGGGGATTCTGCATTGAATGCATTTCTGGGAAATCAACAGATACTTATCCGTACTTGCAGAATTTCTAAAGCCCAATTGAACATTCAGTTTAAGTTAGATAGATACATTCCAGGTGCAGCAAAACAAAAGGTGTGTAATTTATTTTCTTAAAAAATCAGCCACAAAGTAGAAAACCTGTCGCCTGCCAGCTTTCTACAAAGAAAGACTCTTGCTCTCTGTGTGGAAGCAGTGGTTTCTATGCAGAGGTCTGATATGCATCTTTCGGAGTCGGAGCTCTCCCCTCAGCTGGGAGCCTAATCATTGCTGATTGCAGAGCTATAGGGGTGTGTTGGACCTCTGTAGAGAGACCACTGCTTCCAAAACACTTATTCTCTACAACATGCTGGCAGGGGACAGTTTTTTTTTTTTTTTTTTTCTTTTCAGGCTGTGGCTGCTTTAGAAAGAAAACAAAGGACCCTGAACACCTTTCAATGCACATTATTTATTTATTTCAGGTACTTGTATAGCACCGTCAATTTATGCAGCGCTTTTACATATATATTGTACATTCACATCAGTCACATGGAATGTATTTAGTTGATTAAAATTGAAGGTTCACTTGAGCTTTAAAGGGATAAACCCTTGTGATCATGTTCATGTATTGCAGAGATGTACTGCACGTTTATTTTTGCTTTCCAGTTATACGCAAAATCACGTGTATATATACGTGATTTGCATTTCCAGGTAAGGGGCGCTCACGCCACCCTATCCACGCCGCTATTGGCTGCTGAGCATGTCAGTCACCGGATCCCGGCCGGCAATTCTCGGCCAGGACTCTGCAGTTGTCGGCAGAGCTGACGGGAGAGACCTGTGTGTAAACAACACAGGTCTCTCTCCTGAGAGCATAGACATGCTGCTTTGTAATTCTCTGTACAGCAGAGAAATACAAAGCAGCATGCCTTCCTAGTAAAACACCACACGTAATGCACGTAATGTAAAAGAGCACACAGTTAATCCTTTGATCACCCCAGATGTTAACCCCCTCCTGCCCAGTGTCATTAGTACAATGTCAGCTTTTTATTAGCACTGATCACTGTATTAGTGTCACTGGGGATGTCGGTGGCAGTTAGCCAGCTCCCACCCAGTGTCAGAACGCTTGCTGCAGTCGTGCTATAAGTCGCTGATCACCGCCCATTTACTAGTAAAAAAAAAAAAATTTTTTTATAAAAAATTCCAGTATATATACCGTCATTTGTAGACGCTATAACTTTCACGTAAACCAATTAATATACATCTATTTGGATTTTTTTTTTAGCAAAGATATATGGCAGAAAACATTTTGGCCTAAATTTATGAAGACATTTTATTTTCTAAATTTTTTTACTGGATATGTTTTATAGCAAAAAGCCAAAAATATTGTTTTTTATTCAAAATTGTTGGTATTTTTTTGTTTATAGCGCAAAAAATAAAAATCGCTGAGGTGATCAAATACCACCGAAAGAAAGCTCCATTTGTGGGGGAAAAGGACGTAAATTTCATTTATGTACAGCATTGCATGACCACGCAATTGTCAGTTAAAATAATGCAGAGCCATATCGCAAAAAAAGTCCTGGTCAGGAAGGGGGGTAAATCCTCTGGAGGGCAAATAGTTAACAAGCAATAAAGACTTTCCTTCTAAATTGTGTGGATTCCTGAGATCTGTGCCCCTCCTTTTTAAACTTTTTTAAGCACATTGTATATATACTGTGACCAGGTTTTTACTCCCAGTCACAGTCACACTTAAGGTCCAGCAATTTTGTGTCCAGGCACTTGTCACCATTGCCACCATTATCTTTACTGATGGTTTCTCTGGGTCCTACGGGGATATTTTTTAGTCATTGAGAAGCCACTGATGATGAAACAACTGCACATCTATAAAGGATTTACATTGTTCCCTACACCTTGCTTTCTTACAGATGCTGGGAATGAGCCAAAAGTGTACACTGCATGGTGCATGCATTGCACAGTGTACATAGAAAACTTATATGGGAAGAGGCAGAGGAGGCTTTGCATGCCTCTTGCACCATAAATTCCTACCTTGTAATAACATTTTTTTTTTTTTTTTTGACGGTTTGTAATGATTTTCATTTAATGACACTTAAAATACATGAATAATGTGCATAAAAAACTCTCCTAATTTACCCCAACTGGATACTGTTGGATTTTTAGACACATATAATACTGCTTCTAGTGTCTTGAGGCGATTATGAATGAAAGAGCCATTGAAATAAAAAAATGAAGTGTGATTTTATTCTATCACACAATGGTGTCAAATAAACAATGTAAAGCGTATTATGAACAGTTCCATGTAGATAAAACTACTGTAAAACTGACAAGCGAAAGTTCAAAGAAAAAGTCACCATTATCTGTCATGGCTGTCCTGTCCTTGCCATGCTGTCCTTCTCAATGACTTTGTAAAGAAGGAGAAGCCGGATGTGACTAAATTGTAGCTGGAAGTGATCTCGGTATGCACCTGTTGCAGCTTCTCAGACGTGTGTATGCAAGAGTCATGTTGCTTGTGTGTGTGAGCGAGATTGTGTGCCCCCCGAGTGTCTGTGTCTCATGCACTTTTAAGAGGCAAATGTACGTCATAGTTAGTGATCTGAATACCTTCTATGGAAAGTATTACTGCTTAGCAAAGCCATTTCATATAAGGTAAAGATGCTAAACATATGATGTTTGATGGACAGGAACATATGTATGCTGATGTACCAATATTATAAGCTAATGACGTAAATGTATCAATGTTAATGACGTATACTAAATATACACAGAAAATACGTAATGTAATAGTAAGTCACTTCTAATAACCTTGACATAACTACCAAATACTTCTATGCCTAAATATCTCTAAATATAGTCTACTCAACTTTCAACTGGTATATACTATTTCAGCTTAACTTGTATATCTTTTGGTCTCAGCTATAATTGAAGAATAGTAAATACTACCATTTGTCAAAGACCACTTACACATATTAATATTAATTATGACTAATCATAAAAACCAAATATTTTGCAAGCTTGCCATCAATATAAGTGCCGAATCATAATTTAGATTTAACAGATACTAACCTATTTATCTAACTTGTTGTTTGCTAATACAATTGTACATCACCTGAGCACAGTAGCATAATTGCCTCATTAAGTTACGTTATCACACTTTGGGACAGTTATTCCCATTTTGATATGTTTTTTTTCTGGAAATGACTGCTATGGCAAGACATCTCACACAGTATATGGCACATAAATTTGACTGTTCAGCATTTTTGTTCTTACCACACAAGGGGACCCTGTAATGCTACAGAAAGAATGAGCAGTGTAATACCTGGGCATAGAGATGGCCATTTTGTTTTTAAGCGGCATTTTCCTACAGTTGGAAAAAAAAACTTGTAGGTTACCTAAATATTCTGGTTTTACAACTAGCATATGTATATGTGTGTGTGTATGTATGTATATATGTATATATATATAATGTGAGAACTCGCATCCAGTGGTAGAGCTTTTTAAGGCACACAGCAACTCGCTTCTTTTTTTTTTTTTTAAATGCCTTTTAGCCCAATTTTACTTAAAACAGAAAGTTCATTAACAAGCTTCCCATTATTATTATTATACAGTGTTTATATAGCACCGAAAGGTTTGCTCAGCGCTGTACATTAAAGTGGGGGGACAGTACATGAGACAATACAGTAACAATACAATACACGAGAGGTACGAGGGCCCTGCTCTTTCGAGCTTACAATCTAGGAGGGAGGGGGTATAGGTACAGGAGAAAGTGGCTGTGGAGGATGGAGTGGTAGGAGGAGTGGAAGAGAACGGCTCTTAGGTGAGGGTGGGGTAGGCTTCCCTAAAGAGATGGGTTTTCAGGGTGCGTCTGAAGGTGTGGAGGGTAGGTGACAGTCTGATGGATTGGGGGGTAGGGAGTTCCAGAGGATGGGGGAAGTCCTGGAGAAGTCCTGCAGTCGGGCGTGGGAGGAGGATTCCAGAGAGCTAGAGAGTAGGAGGTCTTGTGAGGAGCGAAGGGCACGGGTAGGGTGGTATTTGGGTATCAGGTCAGTGAGGTAGTTTGGGGCAGCTTGGCTTTGGCTATGTATGTCAGAGTAGTTTGAATTTAATGCGTTGGGCAATCGGGAGCCAGTGAAGGGATTGGCAGAGGGGGGTGGCAGAAGTGGAGCAGTTGGTGAGGTGGATGAGTCTAGCCGCTGAGTTCAGGATAGACTGAAGCGGGGATAGTCTGTGTTGGGGCAAAGTCGTCCAGGAAGAGGGATACGGGCCCAGGAGGCCGATAGATTACTGCAATCCTCAGAGGGGTGGGAGAGAAGAGCCAGATGCAGTGGGCCTCGAAGGAGGAGAAGGATAGGGAGGGGGGGTTAGGGAAGACCTGGAAGGTGCTCAGCAGTGACAGGAGCATGCTGACCCCACCACCTCTGCGACCACTCGGTCTGGGTGAGTGGGTCCAGACGAGGCCTCCGTAGGTGAGTGCTGCAGGGAAGGTGGAGTCAGTGGCTTGGATCCAGGTTTTGGTGACCGCTAGGAGGTTGAGGGAGTGGGAGACAAAGGGATCATGGATGTTGGTGAGCTTGTTGCAAACCGAGCGGGCGTTCAGGAGTGCAACCGAGAGAGGAGGGGTGGATGCGGGGAGGAGGGGGATGGGTGTAAGGTTGAGGGAGTTGCGGCGGCTGGCGGGAGCAGGAGGGTGCCTAGAGGGGGAGTGGGGAGGTGGGGGGCCAGGGTTCAGGAAGATGTCCCCGGCAGTTAGGAGAAGGAGAGGGGTGAGGAAGGTGGCATGGGAACGGGATGTGCAGGAGCATGTGGATCTGTCTGTGGTGGCGTGTGGGTTGGCGGGAGAGTGAAGTATCAGGAGGAGGTGGTGAGAGCCATAGTGGGGAGAAGAAAGAAGTGAAGGAGCAATGTAGAGCTGTTTTGGGGGAGTAGGGGGGTAGAGGGAGGCGATTTTGGGAATGGAGGAAAGGAATAGGAGGAGGAGGAGTGCAGGTGACCTGTTAGGGTGAGCAAAGTGCTGGTCAAATCGGGGGAGGTGAAAGGTTTCACATCATTTGTAAATGTAGTTGAGGTAAGTCTTTTATTATTGGTGCGAGCAAATGTTTAATTTATGAAAAAAAAACAAAAAAACAGCACAAATACAACACCCTGACTCAATCAATACCTTAAATGTCATACAGTGTAAAAATCAATAAAAATATAAATAACAATAAAAATATATAATAATATAATTCTCTAATTATATTAAAGTGTCCAAATAAATATAAATAAAGGAAAGTCCTTTCTCCCCCAAAAATTGTGAAAAAAACAGATATCCAAACGAGATAGTGCTTCCACCATTCACCAGTGAAAAACCAACATCAGCCGCACTCACCAGATGATGGTGAGTAATGCGCCTTTTAGGATGTTTTGGGATCCTAAGCCCCCTTTGAAGCCTTCAGGACTCCTTTTTTCCCTTGCACTGCTGTGGAGTTTGGTGTGAGAGGAGAAGGCAGGAGCGAGTGGAAGAAATACCCTTAATCCGATATGGTGGGAAGGAGCCCTGAAGGCTTCAAAGAGGGCTTAGGATCCCAAAACATCCTAAAAGGTGCATTACTCACAATCATCTGGTGAGTGCGGGTGATGTTGGTTTTTCACTGGTGAATGGTAGAAGCACTATCTTGTTTGGATATCTGTTTTTTTCACAATTGGGGAGAAAGGACTTTCCTTTATTTATATTTATTTGGACACTTTAATATGAATGGAGAATTTTTGGGGGGGTCACTTTAATTATATGATTTTATATTTTTATTGTTATTAAGTGTTCTTGCATGGCAAGACCACTTACTGTTATCTCACATATATATTCTTATTATTATATTATTATTATACAGTATTTATATAGCGCCAAAGGGTATGCTCAGCACTGTACAGTAGCAAGGGGGACAGAACATGAGACAAGACAGTAACAACACACTACACGAGGGGTTCGAGGGCCCTGCTCTTTCGAGCTTACAATCTAGGAGATAGCCAAATTTACCACCCTAACTCCTCACACAGTTTTTACACTACATAGACAGTAATATACCGAAATGTGCGGATTGTTCCCCATTGGGGTGCTATTACTTTGTGGAACGTTTCGCCGAATGGTTCACGAAATATCGGCATTTTTGTGGTGAAATTGGTCCCATAGGAATGAATGGCGGAATGTTCAAAACTAGAGTGGGAGCTGACAAAAGCTAGAGTGGGAGCTGAACAATCAGGACATGATTTCTAAACTGCCATCACTCCCTCATTTTCAAGCCCACCTACACAAATCTTATATCAAATGTTCAGCTATCCCTGCTGCCGCTAAAAATGTCCACGTCTAAGCCATAGTCCTGATAGTTTTCACAATATGACCATTTGTTTGCAACTCACGCTGCCCATTGACATTCATTGAAACTCCACTCTAGTCACCTCAAATTTGAAGGGCAATTTCTAAACTGCGACTGTGCCTTCATTTTTAATATTTCAGAGACATACTATGCATCAAAATGTAGGTCTGGGTCTTGTGATTCTCACAATATAAAGCTCTTCGGTGTAGGATTTATAATTTTTAAACTACAACCATTTGAAGATGGCAACCGCCAGTGAAGTGAGCAAGTTGGAGCAGTTTGTTTTTAACTGCTCTTCTCTGCCCTTGCTGTAGAGTGAGTTGCCATAAGAACCCAGGTGTGTGAGCAGGCAGCAGAGTGACAAGCCACTCCACCCAGTTACTCCGCCCACTCCAGTTGTAGACTACTGGTGGAGGCAAGAACACTTCACACAATTTCCCCAGAAATTGTAGCTTTTATAGTTTATTTATATTGATTTTTATACTGTATGACATTTAAGGTATTGATTGTCAGGGTGTTGGTTTGCGCTGTTTTTTTGTTTTTTCATTTTTGGTTTATCTGTGCGCAGCAGCAATCTATAGCCTGGGTGTAATTTTTGGGGGTATTCCAGTGCTCTGGGGTTTACTGTATATTTAAATGTTTAATTTATGCCAGTTGATCCTGCCATATTTCTGCCCCCTTTTTTCTGAGGCCTTTCTTTTTAATAGGGTAATCACCAGCTCCAAATTCTGCAGGATGGTGTTCTCCCTTTGCCTTTACTACAGTCAATGCCGCACCCCTGCTGGTTGATTGACAACTGATCTGATCATTTAGCAGCTGAGACATGAACTGGCTGTAAATGACAACTGATCTGATCATTTAGCAGCTGAGACATGAACTGGCTGTAAATGTCACTGCCCTTTTTTTTTTTGCTGGACAGCTTGGCTAGTTACAGGAAGTGAAAAAATAACAGATCTACTGTCAGGATCAACAGGTTAAAAAAAAATTGTTACTGGGTGGAATCAAGAAAAAAAAAAACTGTTAAGACTTATGACGATCTGCATCTTGTATGTCTTTTTTTTTTTTTTTTTTTTTTTTTTTTTTTTTTTTTTAATTTTGCTTGTATACATACTGCTTGTGTGGCCTAAAGCACACCAGTTTGCTATGCCTTCCTCAACAGAAACTAACATTATTTTTACCTTTTCTGTCACAGCACATGTTCCAGATTGGACAGGACCAGAACCGCTGCGTGACGTGTATGGTCAGCTCCAACCAGGGGATGTGGATCGCTCTACAGGGTAGTGCCCAGGTCCGCCTTTATCACGCTACCACATTTGAGCAATTGGCAGAGGTGGATATTGCACCGCCTGTACACAAGATGTTAGCAGGTAATAGCAGGCAGAAATTGTAACCCAGTTAAACACGACTACTTGTTGGGGTGCTTGTGGTTTGAAGGTAAAATATAAGTAAAAGGCAGTCTTTGAAGTTTAAAATTAAAAGAAAAATATTATTATACAGAATTTATATCGTGCCAAGAGTTTGCTCAGCACTTTACAATATAACAGGAGACAATACAGCAACAATACAGTTCAATACAAGAGGGTTAGGAGGGCCCTGATCCTTGGAGCTTACAATCTAAGAGTATTTATAATGAACAGGAGGAAAGTATCTGGTTTTCCCATGGCAGTAGCAATGTCACTATGCAAATACCAGCCTGGTTCATTGTGTCTCTCCCTTGTGATCTAGATGAGCGAGCCATTGCTGGAGAGTGACATTCTGCATTGTTTCTGTCAGCGACAAGATAACCATTAGCAGATAGCGAGGGCACAACGCGTGGAAACATTGTGTTCTCTGTTCTGCATAGTGATCTTGATGCTGGCAGCATTACTAGTGTGATATGGCCCCTAAAGCAGAACTACTCTATGCCTGAGCACCACAGACTGAACGCTGTCATTCAATTTTAATATTCAAAGCAAACTCACCCATCCATCAATATATCTGTTCTTTGTTTTGTTGAGAAATCACTTTGAAAAACATCTTCCAAGTATTTCTAACCACAGCCATCTTCAGACGATTCATGTAGCATTTACTTCCTGGAATCCATCTGCCCTTAGCTCAGGCATGCAGATGGGGGGGGGGGGGTGCTTAGCTGAGAAAGCCCCCCCCCCCAAAAGAAAGGAAAAAATCCCATGAAGACTCTTTGGAATCTGACATCATTTTGCTCTAGGCCAGAAACCAGGAAGCAACTAAAGAAAAAAAAATTAGGAAATCTAAAAGAAGCAAATATAATATACTGTACCTCCTAAATATCCTTCCCCTTATTTCTCTGTCAAGATCTGTCCCCGCATGCCAGAGTGCAAAAGGTAACCCTGGACTCAGAACTGTCTTTTTTTGACCCACATCCGATCACTGTCCAAATCATGCCGCCTCAACCTCCGCAACATCTCCAGAATACGCCCCTTTTTAACCAACGACACCACAAAACTTCTATTTCACTCCTTTGTTATCTCTTGCCTCAACTATTGCAACTCCCTTCTCATTGGATTACCTTTGCATAGGCTATCCCCCTTCAGTCCATCATGAATGCAATGTCTCTGCCAATCTCTCCATTGGCTTCCACTCACCCAACCATTAATATTCAAAATACTAACAACAACTTACAAAGCCATCCACAACTCTACCCCCAGCTACATCACTAACCTAGTATAAAAATGCCAACCAAATCATTCTCTTCGTGCTTCCCAAGACTTCCTTCTCTCTAGCTGCCTTGTCTCCTTCTCCCATGCTTGTCTCCAGGACTTCTTCCGAGTCTGTCCCGTCCTATGGACCTCCCTACCCCAACCTGTCCCAACTATCTCCTAATCTATCCATCTTTAGATGATCCCGGAAAACCCTTCTCTTTAAAGAATCTGCTTCTAAGTAATACACTGTGTTTTTTACTTTCTCCAACAGCTCATCCACCCAGTTATTACCTTTTGTATTGCTTGACCCTCCATCTTAGATTGTAAGCTGTAATAAGCAGGTCCCTCTGATTCCTCTTGTACTGAATTGTATTGTAACTGTAATGTCTGCCCTCATTTTGTAAAGTGCTTTGCAAACTGTTGCCGCCATATAGATCGTGATTAATAATAATAATAGTAATAATAATAATTTACTAAGGCTAGTAGCATAAAGAATAAAAACGGTTGATTGAGAGTTTAGTTCCACATTAAGAATACAGGATTAAAACTGAATCAAGCCCATCAATTTGATTCCAAAAACCTAAATTTAGGCCTCGTTCACATGATACGTGCAGAAAACGCGATGGAAACTGACACGCAGATTTCACTTGCAGAGACATCAGTTTCATGCCTACTACAGTGAACTGTATACACATTGCTGATTCCTGCGCAGAAAAATTCTGCACGTGATACTAGTATTGTGGTGTGAACAGGGCACATAGAGAACAATTGAGTTTGTTGTGCCCTTGCAGAACGCGTGCAGAAAACCTGACATCTCTGCACCATGGTGTGAAGGAGCCCTTCAGTGGAACTAACCCCATTGTTTTTCCCAGCATGCCATAAAATGCTAGCTGTCACATTTACTTGTATCCTCAACCAAACTATCAAATGCCCTGGGTCATAACTGATCACACATTAGGACAGCCTCTCTGGTGCAGAATAATGAACATCACATTGGCTCCCATCATGGCTCACTGTCTTTTTGTTTTTACTAATTCCTATGGTTCCATCCAAGTTTAGGAAACTAATATTCACCAAATTATTGGGGCTGCTCAATAGATAAGAAGCTTCAACTTGAAAAAACGACGGGCTCGTGTACATGGACTTATTTGTAGGCGTATGCACGTACAGCATAAAATATGCCTGTATTTGTGGCACCCTTGAGACCCAGCTGCTGCTTAATCTTGCTATAGGAATGGATTACAAATCACACTATATGCAAGTACATGCATGTAAATGCCAGTACTTGTGTTTACAGACGCACATGTATGAGCTTATATTCCCATCTTGCTTTCAGGAAAACACACCCATACGTGTGTGCCTGTAAACCTGAGTACCAGCGTTTACATCTGCAGATCCATGTACAGCCAGGGGCAGACTGACAACTCATGGGGCCCCCGGGCAATAGGGGATCATGGGGCCCCCTGTGTCCTCACCCACACTCAAACCACACCCAAAAAAGCCTATGAAAGGTACCAGGGGCATCTCATGGGGCCCCCTACTGACCCTGGGCCCTCGGGCAGTGTCCGAGTTTCCAAATGGTCAGTCCGCCCCGTGTATGGCATATATTGTAATTCATTCCTATTGGCTGAGTTCTGCAGCAGCTGGGGCTCAAGGAATCCGCATATATAAGCATAGTTTATGCTTTACACCCATAACGACTGCAAATATGTCCGTGTGCATTAACTCTAACCTCCCATTTGAACAGAGTGTTTCCAGAGATAAATTTCAATTCATGGAGCAAGCTGGTCACCTTATCCATGACATTTTCCCAAAATTTCAGGTGAAATGAGAACAATGGATGTGAGACATCCCTTGTAGCACTGGCTTCTCTCTAGCGTTTCAATTACTGCTATGTACATGACTATATTGCTGACCTTAGGCATATGATTTTCTTACACTTTCTTTTTACATCTTATTAATTTTGTACTGGAACTTGTTCCCCTACAACTGTTTTGTCTCATCTGCTGAGTATGTAACATTTTTCTCATTGGTATTGATCTGTAACATTTTACCTATAATAAAACTTTTTTTTTTGTAAACAAACTTACGACATGTCCAAAAATAAAGGTTCATACAGAGTATATGTGCTAACCTTTGTGAATTAGGCCTGTAATCAGTGCAGGTTTTCACGCATGATGTTCTATGTCTTCAGGGTCTGACGCCATCATTCGCCAGCACAAGTCAAGTCGGCTTGTTTACGCATCACGGCGTTGCTCGCTTGCAAGGATCTCTTGTGGATCGGGACCAGCGCTGGAGTGGTTCTGACCCTCTCCATCTCTTCTGGCTCCACCTCCCTGAAGGGTCCATTGTGTCCGGTGGGTCTGTCTCAGGGTCACACTGGACATGTCCGGTTCCTAACATCTGTGGAACTGCCCGACGGATTTGATGTTTACTTCCCCATACCTGGAGAGCAGGGTGAGTCCCTTTCATTGACTTTCATTGCTCTCTGCTGTCATATCAGATTGCTGGGTGCAGAGACTGACAGTACAGCTCACGTGGAGTGTATCAAAGCATGATTTAAAGCCAAAATTTTTTGTTTTTTTTTTAAATTTCAGATAGTTGTGAAGGGTTAAAACCCCTGATATGTTTTTTTTTTCTTGTAATTGTGTCCCATTGGGGGTATGTCACGTACCTGTATGCAGAGCCTGAGATGATGAGGGTGCAGCACAGTGGCTAAATGGTTAGCACTTCTGCCTGGCAGTACTAGGGTCGTTGGTTCGAATCCCAGCCACGGCACCACCTGCCTGGAGTTTGCATGTTTTCCCTGTGCCTGCATGGGTTTCCTCCGGGTACTCCGGTTTCCTACCACACTCCAAAGACATGCTGGTAGGTTAATTGATCCTATCTAAATTGGCCCTAGTATGTGTATGTATGAATGTGAGTTATGGACCTTAGATTGTACGCTCCTTGAGGGTTAGGGACTGATGTGAATGTACAATATATATATGTAAAGCGTAAATTGACGGTGCTATCTAAGTACCTGAAATAAATAAATAAATGAGGGTGGCCTCTTGCACATTTCCAGTCCAAGCAGCCCTGGATGTTGAGTCAGGGACTGCAGGGGCAAAGGAAACGCACACGTGCCAAGGTGTAGACACTGTGGGGGACTTGAGGAACTTGGGAGCACTGGTATCTGATGAGCACAAGTACAGCTGGGAATGCACTGTGGAACCACCACGTTCAGTTGTTGATGGAGTCAGGTCCTATACCTGGTTAAGTGACAGGCGAGTGGAAGGACACCAGGACATAAGCAGGATCAAAGTCAGGAGCAAGCAGCAGTCGACAACAGTCGGGTAGTGAGGTACAGAGTCACTAGGCAGAAGCATGGTCAGTAGTCCAGGCCAGGATCGGTAGCAGAGACAGACAGCAAACATGATCAGGTAAGGGTAATCCAAGAGCAAGGTAGAGGAAGCCGAACTAGTAACAGGATCAAGAACGGGCATCAAGACTGGATCACAAGAACAAGGCTAAAGACCATACAGCAAAGAACTAGTGCAGAGTTCAGGTTTAAATAGGCCGCTTGGCGGCAGTGGACATACGTGCTCATGCCTGATCAATGATGAATATGCAGTCTTTCTTGTAAGCCCATAGAAATGTACACAACTGCGGGCAGCACAGTGGCTCAGTGGTTAGCACTTCTGCCTGGCAGTACTAGGGTCATTGGTTCGAATCCCAGCTATGGCACCTCCTGCCTGGAGTTTATATGTTCTCCCTGTGCCTGCGTGGGTTTCCTCGGGTACTCTGGTTTCCTCCCACACTCCAAAGACATGCTGGTAGGTGAATTGGCTCCTGTCTAAATTGTCCCTAGTATGTGTATGTATGAATGTAAGTTAGGGACTTTAGATTGTATGCCCCTTGAGGGTTAGGGACTGATGTGAATGTACAAAATATATGTAAAGCGCTGCATAAATTGACGGCGCTATATAAGTACCTGAAATAAATAAATAAATAAAATCATGCACATTAGCCATACAGCTCGTCTTAGTCTAACATCCAGCATCATATTCCCAACAGGGGATTTTAATTCCTGTCCTGTAGAAACAATAAGTGAGAGGAAAACTTTTTCAAAGTAAGGGAAATCCCTTTAGACCGTTGTTGTTAAAACAAGTGCCCCATTTTGGAAGATTTCTCCTCTATGCCTGTTCTGGTGATAGCACACAGCTTTGGATTCTCCTTCACTTTTAGTCTCTTTGGCAATGGTCACCAGGACTCATATGTCCTACCTAAAAGCGGTTGAATGCCCACACCTTCTAAACAGAATTTTAAAAAATGGCATTAGATTCACTTTAGTGAAACTTGGCTGTCAATTTTCTGAGTCTTTTAGGATTTCTGTCCCTTAGTGGGCAGAAATGGCGATGTACACATTTAAAGGAGACATTTGTAGTGAGAATAATGCATTTTGCAATTGCAGACTTTAAAACTGCTAGTAGCCTGATGGTCATGCTGATCCATGTTTCTATTAGTTTGTGCATTGACATACAGCCAGTTTGCAGATCAAGCTGATCCATGTTTCTATTAGTTTGTGCATTGACATACAGTCAGTTTGCAGATCAAGAGATTAGATTTCACTTGGTTCATGCTGCGTTGGGTCAGAGAGCCAGGCACCCAGCATTTTCAGGAGGTCAGCGAAAGCAGCTTATGTGTGACTTAATACAGATTCCATTTAGACTTGACATTTTTATGGAAAAAATATTTTCCCTACCCCCAGGTCTGTTACATATAAATGGCAAGGCTCCTTACCGGCTTCTGTATTGTATGTAATGACACGGGGTGTTTTGACATAGGCAATACAGCCTGATCCAAGACATTCCCCTAACTGCTGTGTAGTCCGCAGAGGTGTACCTGGATATTATTATTATTATACAGGACTTCTATAGCGCCGACTGTTTGCTCAGCGCTTTACATTATGGAGGGAGACAGTACAGTAACAATACAGTTCAAAACAAGAGGGATTAGAGGGCCTGATCCTTGGAGCTTACAATCTAGGAGGGAGGGGATAGTGGTACAAGAGGTAATTAGCTGTGGGGGATGGAGTGGTAGGAGGAGTAGTGGATTCCAGTATTAGCTGGTGTCGGGGTAGGCTTCCCTGAAGAGATGGGTTTTGAGAGTGCGCCTAAAGGTGAGCAGAGTAGGGGATAGCATGAAAGCTTTGGGTAGGGAGTTCCAGAGGATGGGTGAAGCCCTTGAGAGAAATCCTGGAGACGAGCATGGGAGGAGACAAGGGAGCTAGAGAGTAGGAGGTCATGCGAGGAGCGGAGAGTATGGTTTGGGTGGTATTTAGAGACAAGGTTGATGATGTAATTAGGGGCAGAGTTATGAACGGCTTTATACATCAGTGTTAGTGTTTTGAATTTTATCCGTTGGGCAATTGGAAGCCAGTGGAGGGATTGGCAGAGAAGGGTGGAGGACACTGAGTGGAGACCAGTGGGGGATTGGCAGAGAGAGGTGTAGGACACTGAGTGGAGACCAGTGGAGGGATTGGCAGAGAAGGGTGGAGGACACTGAGTGGAGACCAGTGGAGGGATTGGCAGAGAGGGGTGGAGGCTGAGTGGAGACCAGTGGAGGGATTGGGAGAGAGACTGAGGCAGTGGAGACCAGTGGAGGGATTTGAGGCTGAGAGAGAGGTGAGGGGTGGAGGACACTGAGTGGAGACCAGTGGAGGGATTGGCAGAGAGGGGTGGAGGACACTGAGTGGAGACCAGTGGAGGGATTGGCAGAGAGGGGTGGAGGACACTGAGTGGAGACCAGTGGAGGGATTGGCAGAGAGGGGTGGCAGATATAGAGCCGTTAATAAAGTGAATAAGTCTGGCAGCAGCATGGATATAAATTCCAAGTTCTTTGGCAGGTAAAACAGTTCCTATACATGTATTTTTTTTTTTCTCAATTTTCAGCAGGTAACGAGCAAGCTTGTGACGCAGAGAAGAGGGACTCCTCCAGACACCGTACTAAATCCAAACTCCTGATCATCAGTGGAGGTGATGGCTACGAGGACTTCCGACTCACCAACAGCAGCGAGACTGTGGGCAGAGATGACAGCACCAACCACCTTCTACTCTGGAGGGTCTGAAAGCCTCACCAGGCCAATTTTATGCACCGGACCCTCATCTGTTTTGCTGCTTCCCATCACACCTTCAGCTCATCTGCTGGTTTATCCTAAGCATCTAACCTGCACACCTCCATTCACTACCTTCAACATCACCAGGTTCTGAAATCACCACCAGGGAGAGTCATTCGGAGGAGCTGCTTGTCCAGGAAGGGATAGATGTACTGTGTACAGGAGCAGGGTCATTATTACATTGCCAAAGTCCTTAGCAAGATGGCAGTATGGGAATTGCAGTACAATATTGTGCCTACAACAGAACAAAAAAAAAAGGATCTTTATCCAAGATTACAATCAGCCAATCAGCTTCTGGCAGCCTCTGCATCTTCAAAGGTATTAACCACTGGCGAGCGAGCAGAGTGACTCAGAATCGCCTTCGACTGCTGTCCATCACTGCTTTTCCATACGCATTTCATGAGAGCGTCAAAAGCACCGAGACCCTTGGGACTCGATCAGTCAATAAACTCTGTGTTCGCAGGGTCCGGCTGCTCACATCAGTTCTGTGGCTAAAAAAAAAAGAGAGACTTTTAAGTGTTGCCTGGTCCGCCAGCCATTATTTTTTTAAAGATGTTCTTATTTATTGTCAAGTGAAAACTTGTGTTTTGAAGTTTTTGTTTTTTTTTTTGTTTTTTTTTAGTGTGTGTGAGGAAACTGAAACATGTGGATCTCTATAATGGGGGTGTTAGAGACAAAGTATATGACCTTTTTAGTAGTATTTTTTGATGGAATTCCATTTATGTCCTATTTAAAGTGGTTCCTCACCATAAGAGGCCTTTTAAAGAAGCACTCCACTGAAACTCTGAAACCACTTTGTAATTCTATGGCTGAAATGTTACTTAGTTCAGTCTGCATTTGGATCTGGATGCCCACTCCGGCCTTTTCATGGTTTGCTTTTTTTTTCTTGCCATCATTCTGTGCGATTTAGTTTTTGTCCTGGGATGCTATTTAGCTTTGCTGTGTTCACTGCACAGACAAGGTATCACAGGACAGTGGAAGTTATCACCTCCCCTAGAGGATAGAAAGACATGGCTGTAGGATCACAGAAGAAAGCTTCTGTTCCCTGGATGCCGAGATAGGTATTTGCTGTAAGTTCCTCAAGCAGAGTACTACTATCGGGTATAAAATATGGTAAAGTGAGCGCTCTAAAATAGCAGCTGTGACACTAAAAGGTAACAACAATAAACCTTCAAACGACTGTAAAAAATAGAAAGCGCAGCGCTGATAAATAGGCATAAAATATATGAATACGGGTTCATCCAATGTAGGAAATTAATTATAAATACATAAGATAGGTGAAAAGTTCATATAACGTAAATAAATGATCCTCTTTGCAGCAGATTTCTAACAAGCTTGTAACTGGAACCAACAGTAAAATTGCGCACTCACCAGAAGCGCATAGGTAATGCGCATAATAAATAAAACCACCAAGGATCTCTTAGGTAGGCGGAATGTGTCAGGTATATATGGTGAGCTTCCTTCTGTGGATCGGTCATCAAGTCTTGGGATATTAACCACCTCCCGTCTGGCCGTTGTATATAAACGGCCCGACGGTGGCAGTGCAGGGTCGGGTGGCCATTTATAAACGGTCTCTCCCCACACCCTGCTTGTGCGCGCTCCCTGGGAGCGTGCAGCACCGCAATCCGGTGCCCACTGTGTCCTCCGGACACAGTGGAACACCAATCGTTGAACGGGACCTCTGTACGAGGTCCCAATCATGTGATCACTGATTGGCCAATCAGTGATCACATGAAGAGTAGTAAGCAAGATGTCACTTCCTGACATCATTGCTTACTACGTGTGAAATCTGTGAATGATCACAGAGGTCACATGGTACAAGGTTATTCAGAACAGCCTTGTACCATGTGACAAGCTGTGACCAATCACAGCTCACTCAGTAGTTCTCAATGGCTGCAAGAATGCAGCTAGATAGAAGGAGAAATGATTGCTTTTACAGCCTTTATGGGTGTAAAAGCAATCAGTGTAAAAAAAAAAAAAAAAAAAAATCATCACCCCCCCCCCCCCACAAGTAGTACAGTGTCACCATGGTGACACTGTACTGCTAAGGTGACAGTATGTAAAAAAAATAAAAAAAAAATATGAAAAAAATAAAAAGTAAAAAAAAGTTTCAAAATTATAATTTTGGTTATAAACTAATTTGGGTTATTTTTTTTTTTTTACTAAAAAGCTAACGAAATAAATTGTGGCCAAGATTTATGATGAAATACTTTTTATTTGCAAAATTTTATAAGAAAAACACTTTTTTTCAAAATTTGTGGACGTTTTAATTTACATAGCAAAATAAATAAAAATCCCAGTGGTGAATAAATACCACCAAAATAAAGCTTTACCTGTCTCAAAACAATGCTAAAAAATTCATATGGTTACAGTGTTGCATGACCGCGCAATTGTCATTCAAAGTGTGATAGCACTGATAGCTGAAAATTGGCCTTGACAGGAAGGGGGTAAAAGCGTCCGGACTGGAAGTGGTTAAGGAAATCTGCTAGGTCCAGAGGTCCCCTTTAGGATGGATGGGTGCTCAGCCTGGATACAAGGCTCCCTTCCTCTGGATATTCAATTTGATGGGGGTCATCTGAAAGCACTCATTTTCCCGACTCCTAGCACTCAAGCTTGCAAAGAGGATCATTTATTTACGTTACATGAACTTTTCACCTATCTTATGTTGTTATAATTAATTTCCTACATTGGATGAACCCGTATTCATATATTTTATGACTATCAGCGCTGCACTTTCTATTTTTTACAGAGTATTACTATCCTATGACCAGTCCACATGCAGGGAAAGCTCTATTCCAGCATTCTCCCAGATGTGCGGTACCCCTGGATATCTGCAACGGTGAAGGGTTTCCTGCAGCAAAATGATAGGGCAGGGGATGTCCTTTAGTTCTAGTTCTGTGTAGACCCCCTAGAAAAAGCAGTGAATTAGACACACCAGTAGGAAGCAAGATGTACAGGGAATTCTGTGCACTTTACATTCTTTCCACTTTTAGGAAATCATATGTACTGCAAAATGACCAGATCATTTTTACTATCAATTTACAGAATCACTTGTGTAGCAGATATTACTATTATGCATTCAAAGAGGACCTCTACTTAAATGGCAACTTAAAGCTATGTGAAAATTCTGGCTGTGGATAAGGAAAAATTAATAAAAGTTCTAAAAATCCTTTTCTTAAACCCAACCTTCCCTACAGTGTTGCTCATTTAATACCAAGCATTGGCTTTAAGTCTGCTGAAAGGAGGAATTGGCCTTTCTGAACTAACTCTAAGCCTGCTCATAAGCAGGGATCAGGGGCGGACTGACCATTTGGAAACTCAGGCACTGCCCGAGGGCCCGGGGTCAATAGGGGGGCCCATGAGATGCCTCTGGTACCTTTTTCTTAGACTTTTTTGAGTTTGGGCAAGGACACAGGGCCCCATGATACCCTATTGCCAGGGGGCCCCATATTTTGTCAGTCCGCCCCTGGCAGGGATCATGCACGTTTGGTGATGTGGCTGGCACTGAGGGGGGCACCTGGAGCAGTGTTTTCTCCAGAAAAAGCAAGTATTTCAGCACTTCTGTTACTCTTTATGTATTCCAGCAAGCCAGTTAACTTACCAGACCATAGGTTCCCTGGAATAAAGTATGTCCTGACACTTACCCTCCAGTACCCAACAGCTGACGCAAGGTGGCAGTATTGTCCATTGTAAAAAATAGGACTATCCAGTTCAACTTGCCAGCCTACCCCAGTCTAATAATGGCTATTGTCGGCAAGGAACATGGATAAGCAGGGGCGGACTGACCATTTGGAAACTTGGGCACTGCCCGAGGGCCTGGGGTCAGTAGGGGGCCCCATGAGATGCCCCTGGTACCTTTTTCATAGGCTTTTTTGAGTTTGGGCAAGGACACAGGGGCCCCATGATCCCCTATTGCCCGGGGGCCCCATGAGTTGTCAGTCCACCCCTGTGCATAAGTATAACTTATCAAAAGAGGGGGATAAGAAAGCTAGTTCAAACTGCCAGCCAGTTAGCCAACTATCAAAAACCAAATTAACCTGTCTAAGAACATGTGTTTAAAAACAGGGGTTTAGTTAGCACACATTTGCAAATACATACAGTACGTAAGCCACAGAGCCACATCATGGCACCCTGAGTATCTGTGGTCCTAACTCTATAAATCTTGAGAGTCCTCACAATGCATTTAAATGGATACAAACAAGGGCAGGTGAACCTGAGGGAGCCCACCCCTGATTAAGGTCATGGGAACGCACCTGACACCCAGCATGTAGCATACCGGCAGCCAGGGTGTCCAATGCACCCACTGAACCTCCAAAATTAACATACAAAGAAAAAACTGGTCACCTATCTACCTACTATTGTCCATTGCCAAGACTTTATAGTTGAGCTGAGCGCTTTTGTTTAAAGTAGAATCAAAGGCAAACATTTGTTGTTTCATTTTGGCTAAAGTGAGGGCAAAAAACAAATCTGTGTCCCACTGGGGAGATTTCCCTTCACTGCCTGTGCCATAGCCAAAACAGGAAGAGAGAGGAAATCCTTGCAAATTAATGGAATCCCTTGGGGTCACCAGAACTAGAGTTCCCATTGGAAGATTTCCCCTCCATTACTTTTCTGGGGACAAGACAAAATTTGGGATTTTTTTTGTACTTTCAATTTCGATGACAAATAGAGTTAATCTCCCTGATGGGGGCACAGACAACCATAAAAACCTGACAGGGGTCTAATGCTTGTCCATTCTGTCCACAACTAAAAAAAAATAAAAGTTTTACCTTTTAGTTATACTTCGATCTCCACTGTCCATACACTATGACCTTATTATATCATTGGGAAATTTCCAACCTGTCTGTTGGAAGAAATACTCTCCTCTGCACATCTAATTGTCTGCACTGCCCCATGGCTTCAAGCTTTAGTGGCAAATATTACATAATGGCTTTAAAAAGCTTTGTTCCATT